GTCCAATTGATTGAGGACCTGGGAAAATTTTGATCAATTAGTTATTAATATTTAGTCAAGTGGACTAGTTATAATTTTTTTGATTAAATTTTATTAGAAGTGTTTTTGACTCAAACTTGTGGTAACTTTTTAAAATTTCGTTATTCAATAATATTTAACTATTGATTTTTCTTGTAAATAGTTAGAAGTCAGTGATGTTTGTTAATTTTTATCTTAGTGTATTTAACTTCTAAGTTAATATTTACTCACTAATATATGTTTTTTTTTTCTACTTATAGGTTATTTGTAAGAGTAGTTGAGAGATATGAGCATATTAAGTACAATTTTATGTTCAATTTTTTAAAATTAAATTAAAGTTAGATGAAACAATTACTTAAGTGAAGAACAAATAACTTTGTAATAATTTATTATGCGATTTTATAATTTTTGTTTATTTGATAAGATTGAATAAACAATTGGGGCTATTTTAATAGTTTTACAACTTATGAGATTTTTATGTTTATGAGAAAATATACAACACAAAAATTTCATATCGCATGTCCAAACAAACCTTCAATTTCATCTCATGATTCCATATCATGATACCATATTGCATGGCCAAACGGACCCTAAGAAAATTTAAAATTTTGAAGGTATCATCAATTACTCCTTTTCATATAACTTCAAAATTAAAAATGATAATTTTAAAAGAATCAATGATTTTTTCGAAAATTGAAAGAAGTTAATTGAAATCAGATAAAAAAAACTATATGATACTTCCTAATCATCTTGAAATCTAATGTGTTTATCAAATTGTTCTAAATGTAAGAAAATATTTAGATAAAATTTTAAAATTAAAGTGAGTAAAACTAATAGTAGTAAAAAATGAAGGTGAAGTTGTGATAAAAATTGTGACATTGAAAGTGAGAAGCTTCAATGGAGATGACAATGATTTTTTTGAAGAAGAAAGAAAGAGAAAAAGAAAAAAGAAAAAAGTTAAAATAATAAAAAAAATAAGAAAATATACTTTATAATAAAATACTTGTAAAAATAAAATTATATTAGTTATTTTAGGTTGTTCACTCTCTTTTCGCTTCGAGAGAGTACACACACTCTCTATGTCATATGGACAAAATATGATGTAATAATATCAGTTTAAGATTGTTTAGTGGGGTAATAAGATGCCCGCATAATTAAGGTGTCTTTTTGAAAATTCGGGACAAGTTCATATGTCACTTTATGTCTTTTCTCAACATGTAAATTAAAATTATATATATATATATATATATTAAATCTTGAACGTCTATATAAAAATTCTACCCAATTTCAAAAGTTTTGATTTTATAGTCTTTTTAAAATTTGTTTTTAGTCATATGTTATTTTTATATATAAAATAAAATAAAATACGTTTTTAAAATTAAATTTAGAAATGGTTATGAGAGATTTCATCCCTAATTCCTCATAGTTATATATATATATATTTTAAAAAACTTAAATAAGTAGAAGAATTTATCACGGACTTACCATTACCAAGTACCAATGTTGGTATTTTGTTTGGTTATTTTATTTTTAGATCAATAAAAGACAAAAAAGGTAAGAAATTTGTGGATGGGGTTTTTGTTCACCTAGTATAGAAAGGAAAATTTTTAATTATGGATAACTTTTAGTTTTTGACCTTATTATATATGACTAAGTATGTTTAATTTTTAATTATTTGAAATAACATTTTTGATTAATTTGTTTCTAAATATTTATTAGTTAGATTTATTAAAAACTTTATTCGTTCATAGTAAAAATATTTATCTCAAAATACTTAGTCCTTATTAAAATGTTTATCTCAAAAAATATTTTTCAAAATGCTGATCTTTTTTAATCCTATCCACTTTTGCTATCAAAATGCTTATGGCAATTAATTAATTTTTTTACCTTGTTTTTATAGTAATTATCTTTAAAGACAGTAAATATCTCAATTATAATATATAATAGAGTAAATATTTAATGAAAAGAAATATTATCTTAATACCAGATAAAGATGAAGTAGTCAAACATTTTTCTAATGCTTTTTCGTCCTAAAATGATAGTCTTAGTTACTATTCGAACCGTAAAAAAAAAATTAAATTAATTTCTAAATATATAAATTTATTTTTTTTAAAATAAAAAAAATCTATATTCAAAGAACATAAGTTTTGTAAAATATATCTGCTTCTAGAAATCAAACAGAGCTCGATTAGTTTCCGCTAAGCAAAATATAAAGAACATAATCAATACACAGAACAAGAAAATACCGAATCATATCTGCTTCTACATCATGTCAATCTCACTCGAATTATGAAAACCTACAAAATACACCAAGTCCTCATCCCTAACCACACATCCAAATTTTCCCACATGTGGCGCGTTCATGCATTTCGAGGCACTATAACACAACATGAGAGAGGGGTTCGGAAGTCAACAAAAGCCAAATAATATAAAACGAAGATTGCGTGAAAAGATAATTGTTGCCGCGTATTTAAAATGTGAATACATGCCAGCATGTCATGGGTCCAATTCATTCAACTTACCTATAAATATCTCCAATAATTTTTCATTCTCAACACATAAAAAAAAGAAGAAGAAAAAAAAAACAAATTTACTTTCCTCCAAAAAATGAAGAAATCAAGTATTTTTGTAGCTTCCATAACTGCAGTTGCTATTTCTTCTTCCAATTCTTCATCCAAAGTTCGAATTTCTCATCATCAGGTAAATAAATTTTCCTCAATTCTGCTTAGTTTTTTTTTTCTTTTTTTCTCTTAAAATTTGAAAATAGATCTGGAATTTCAAATTAGTAGAAATAATTTACAATTGTGGTTTAAATGTTTTAAACTGAATATATATAAGTACTAGACAAGCTCGATGCGATGAGCTTGCGTGAAAAGAAAGCTGTTATAAAAATTTAATTATATTTTTTTTTGGGGAAAATTATTAATTCAGGATGAAAGTTCGTCGAAGAAGAAGAAGATGGAGGAAGAAAATTCATCGAAGAAAATGGGAGAATCAAAATCTTCTTCAGATAAATTTGCACCAAAATTTGATGGATTGAGATTTATTGAAACTTTGGTTACAGCTCACAGATAAGTTTACAAGAGGGAAACAAATAATTTTTGACAGATTTATTAGGGAAAATATTATCTGAGGAAAATGGAATATATGAAGGTGAATTGTTGTTTAATTAGCCAATTTGATGACTTTTTTTTCTTTTTCTTTAATTTGGTACTATGAATGAAGAGATTGAAGGGAACAAAGAGGGATTTTGCTTTCTTATGTGTTGTATGAAATTGATTGGTGGGAGATTAGTAATTTTTCCTTTTTTAAAAAATTAAATTTCTTTGATTTAATTTTGTTTGTCTGATTTTGATTTGATATGACACTTTAAGAGAGTAAAAAAAATATCAAAATCTTGCGATTTTAAACTAAAGATATTTATAAAGTGCTAAAATGTCTTTCAATCTTATAATTTTAAACTTGTTAGGTAGAAAGTCGAACTTACTTGAAACATACCATAAAGGTAAAGGAAAACAAACATTTCACCAAGATAATTTTAGTCATCACAAGTTATATTTTGTTTCGATAAATATAATCCAAACGGGCTCTAAGATCATAACAAACCGATGGATATTAACTTTGTATCATTCATATAACTGAGGGAGAACACCATTACAAAAGCTACTCTTAAAAGTTTCATATCAACTCTTTAAACTGATATGACATTATATTTCATATCTTGTAATAGGATCATAACATATATGATACGCGATTGTTATGATATTCTTTACCTTTTATTTTTTTGTAATGATTGGGAGATATGACATATTTTATTACCAGAAAAATAAAAATACAAAAGAAAAGTAAGAAATAGTCCATAGCAGATTTTGTTGAATTTGGTGTAATAAACTATTATTGTGATTTGTGACTTGTCTTTCAAGTCAAAATGGCGGCGACGTCACCCCCTAAAAGCATAGTATTTTGAGAACAAAATCGCAAGTGTTGACTTCATCTGAATTTAATATTTTTAATATAAAATATAAAGTTACGTGATTTTTTTCTTCTAAAATTACAATCTAAATCCATAATTTTAGAATATGTTCAATAATGATACTGTCTTAAAAGTTAAATTTATAAAATTTAAATATTGAATTTGTCTCGATTGGACTACTAGCTCATCGAATATTTTCTGCATATTCTCAAATCTCAACCTCTATAATGCATTTCTCATCTGTTTTCCAATAACTTTATCTTTGGGGTGAAGATTTTTCCACTCCTCTTTTTGCTTTGTAATGGGAATATTCTTTTAAGCCCTATGGGATGACGGTCAATAAAATGAAATGAAAATCATAAAAGATTAGAATTTAAAAAGATGTGTGAGAGTCTTTATTTCTTTTCGTATGCCGGACATCTTTTTCTTAAAGGTCCTTATTACTCGTCGTTATTAAAAATCTTATTTCTGATGGTTTGATTATGCGTTACTAAAATGATGTCTTGTACTTCAATTATTATATTATTTTATTGTAGTTACTATTCTGAATAATTTGACATACTTCCATAACTTCTTCACTTTCATTATTTCTTTCTACGTTCTGCGTTGCGTTAGATTGTTTTTGCTTGAGTCGAGAATCTGTCGGAAACAGACTTGCTAGCTCCAAATAGGGGTAAAAGTTTGTGTAAATTCGATTTTTCTTGAACTCTACTTTATAAGACTACACTAAATATGTCGTTATTGTTGCTGATTATATCTAATGATAAATTATCAATTTCTAAAAATAATTGTGACGATAGAGTACACTACACCACAAAAAAAAGATGACATAATTAGTTTAAAAATTACAATTGCATATATATGGATATCGAGTCAACCCCATCCGACTCGACATTGATTCATAGTTGAGAAGGATTAGCAATCTCTTCATTCACTTAATTGATAATTATCTATATATAATGACATAATTTTCTCATAAAATAATTCGATTTTAAATAATTTTATAAAGCTAACGTCTATTTGCATATGTGATCTCAGGAGTCATCTTCGTAAGGAAACATTTTATCTTTCAATGTAACACTTTTCAGTACGAATTTGAATTAGTCGCCCTCCAATAAAAATATCAGACACAGAGCATAAAACAAAATAATATGTGACCTTAGGAGTGGAACAGTTAGATTAAAGTCACAATATAACCTGGTATGCATGGTTTATGTCTTATGAGATAATAGTGTTATTATTTCAGCTTTTTTTTCCACATTTTTCGTCTCGAAGTAAACTTTCTCACCCCTTGCTATTTGTAGTGATTGCCACCGTTTTTTTCTCTCATAGGAGAGTTGTATACTATCAGTATATATAAGATACACTTTTCTATAGATGAATCTGATTTTTTTGCCCTCTCCCATAAAATATTGAACTATAAGACACTACACCCAATGACCCTAGCTTGAAAATTGATGGTCTTGAAATTTCGCCTCTCCGCTCACCCATAACAAAATTTGTTAAGCTTAAAATTTTGGCCACAGTACAAATGAGGTCAAAAGTTCAAAAAACCACCCACCTCTAAGATCATTTTTATAAATCACCCGTTAATAAAAAAGAATTATTACAAGTCCAATTATAATGTTATATTTAAGTAAATAAAAGTATTACATTTAAAAAAGAACCAAAATGAAAAATTAAAAAGACTTATCCATCATCATTCATTCATATATTTAACATTAATATGATTAAAAAAGTGGCTATTACCATTAGAATTGTTGAACATTTAGTACCTTTTGAAGAATTACTCTTTTGTTCATCATTTTTGCCTTCTGGCTGAATAACATCTTTGCAATTTAGGCCTTCTTTGTCCTCTTTGCACATATTTGCAAATAGGCCAGGTGGATATTTGCCATATAGATTAATGTAATTAAACATAGTTGTAGCACATCCATTTTGCACATCATTTATTTCTTGTGTATGTTTGCATGCTAATTGTTTGAATGCATTGCAACATATTGATGAATTGTAGTGAGGTCCTTTGCATTGGCTTGTTATGATGGTGTAGTTTTCCCTCTCAAAATCAATGGGACAATCTTTGAGAAAAAGAAGAAGTCAGATATAGTGACGAGTCCGAATTTTCACTAAAAAGTCAGATTAAAAATATAATGAAGTAAATACAGAAAGAAGCCACATGAATACAACACACATGATTCAACAGGGATATTGTTAAGTTTGTCCATAAAAATATAACTCATTTAAACTTGTTCAAACTTGAGCCGGTTAATTGTATTGAATATGTATCTATTTAGGGACTAGTGCACCAATCGCTGATTCAAGGATCGTTATGTAAGACACATTCAAAAGTTACCAAATACTTAATGTGGAGAGGTTTTAGAATAAATATCAGATCTACGAGACTGAAGTTGAAAATTCAAATCTAAATTTTCAAACTTCAAGCATATGAGTCTGGCATTGGGACTTGCAAGACAAACTTCAAATTGCTTGTACAATTAGAACCTCAGACAAGTAAATTTGAAGTTAAGCTTGACAGTCCCTAACTTCAAAATAATATATTTAAAATTTGAACTATCAAACCTAACTTCAGACTCGTATATCTGATTTTGAACTTCAGATATATCTAAAGTAAACAAATACATTAATTTTCTTCAAAAATATATACCATAACTTTTTTCCCTTTAGTTTTGGCTTTATTCCTTTCAACATAACCATTCTACTTTGTTCATTTAATAGAGGTCAAAACAAAAATTGATTGTGTTTATAAGTAATGTAAGCAACACTATTTAATAAAAAGCCAATAACTACAATTTTCTGTGTCAAATAACGTCAACCTTGACTACAAGTTAAATACTTCAAACTTTTTTTAATATAACTTGAACAATAAATATAAAATCGACTACCAATGCAATTTTTATATTTATTCATGGGTTAATTAGGGTTACGTATCAAACCATTTTGACCTAAACAAACATTAGGCGCATTATGACTCTAACCATTTATCGATTCGAATCATTTTAACATGCCCAAATATAGTTCTAATACTGCAACTTGTTCATTTGACACCTCTTCTCAATTTCAACTCTTTCTTAGAAGCAATAATTCTTGAAAATTAATCATTTTTTTAAGCTTTCAAGAACAAACGTTAATATATTTTTAAAAGAAAAAACAATCCTAAAACATATCAATTCATAAATTAATTGCATTAACTTAAAATTTTTAAAAACCAAACAAGAAATATAACATAATAACAATAAAAAGGGATTAAATTGATACTAACTTCCTTGTTGTTGAAGAAGGGCACGTCCCGAATGAACACGAGCCTCAAGCACATCATCTGTTCGAACAACAATAATAATTACGTCTCAGTCTTCAACAAATACAAAAACAATCAAAACATTAAAAAAAAAAACAAGAACAATTTTTTCTTTTGTTAATAACCAAATTTGAATATAAAAAACAAAATCATAAATATAAAAAATAATTTTAAAAAATGTAGGAATTTACGTTTGATGTATAATGGAGAAGAAGAATATGACAAGCCAACAAGAAGGAAGAAGAGAAACAAAAAGAAGAATTTTTGGAAGCCCATTAAAGCTTCTCTTCTTCTTTTGGCAAATAATTATGAATTTTTCTTAATTAACCTATTTTTATTTTTGCCAGAATTTTCTTCAAATACAAAAAACTCTTGAATATTTTTTTGAATTTGGTTTTGTTTAGAGAGAGAAATGTTAAATGAATAAAGAGTGGAAGCTAATGAAAATAAAAGAGAAATAATAGGAGAAAACAAAGGGCTTTTAAAGGCCCTTTAATTTCTCTATTTACAAGAATTAAATGTTATTTTAGTTAGTGAAACGTTCAAATTTGTCTCTGAACTATAGTATTGTTTAGAACAAATAATGTTGCGTATATATATATTATTCTTTTGAAATCTCAATTATACTGAATATGTTTGTTTATGTTTTTTCTAAAAAAATCTTGTTTTTTCTTCGTTGTAATCAAAATGGCTCAATTTTGTCATCTGCGCTAACGACTGCATGATAAAAAGGAAAATTTAGACCATTTGTAAGTCCAAGAGTAAATATTCATTATGCGCTAATTTATATGTTTTATTTTTCTTTTTTAGTTAATTTAAAAAAGAACGATATATTTTTAAATGTTTAACAATTTAACTTTAAGTGCTCATTTTTACCTAAATATTTATAGTTTTACAAATATTATGATTTATTTTAGACTCCAAATTTCAAAAAAAATAATTAAAAGAATCATATTAAATTAAACTATATCACATAAATTGAAACGAATGCATATGATTTATTTGCAAACTTTAAAGGTAATTTCATTTAACTTCAACTAAAGGTAATTAAGTATCACTAACTATTATAATAACTTTCAAAAGTGGATAAACGTATGTCCATAGTATATCAAATTATCAATCAATTAAATTAATTGAACTCTTTAATTTTCTCTCTCTTGACGTACGTTACTAATTTATCTAAACTAAATTTGAAATAGTTACCATCCCCCTGTTTACATTTACTTGTTATTTATTCCTAAAATAAGTTTTCATCTTTTTTAAAAATTCTATGATAATCCGCAGTCGCTATAACCTCTGTCATAGCCTTTGCTCTTCGGGTGAGTACTTTGTGCACATCAGGTAAACCTTCACTGTGTAATAGCCTGCAACCCACTCCACACAAGGGATGTAAACCTCACCAGATAAGAGATTTTCATTTTTACTTTTCACTTTTGACATATAAAGAAAAGATAAAAAAAAAAATTCTATGTTTTACCAATACTAAAAATTAATTAGTAAGAATAGTGTGGTAAAATACTTATATCAATAATGAATTTCTTAATAAATGTGCAAAGTTAAACAATTATAAGTAAAAATGAACGGAGAAAGTATATCAAAATGACTATTTTATTTCTGTATAGGCTAACGATACAATTATAAAAGGTAAATTTAGATCATTGGTAAGTTCAAAGACAAATATGGATTATTTACAAATTTTAAATAAATTTACTGAAATTCAACGGAAGGTAATTAAGTGTCACTATTTATGAATAATCTTTAAAAGAGGATAAATGCATGTCATAGACTCATAGTATATCATTTTAATTAATTGTGTAATAAGGTTCTTATATGTATTTATGTTAATATAGTGTTTAGCTGCTTATATTTCTAACTTCTGAAAGAACTTTGTCTAATATTTTAGAATTTTTAATTAAATTATTTAAATCTTTGTATTAGTAAATAAAATTCTTAATAATTAGATCCATGTTAGTGTATCATAAAAACATGGCTAAAATTTCATTTACTTAATAAAATAACCTTTGTCAATATAAATAAATAGTATTATTAACAAATATATTTGTAACGAAGCTACAGACAATATGTCTTTGATTAGATAAGTTTAACTAACGTCATTAAGATTTTGACTTTAAGCCTTCTTTTTTTTGCGCCACCCCAAGTGAACTTATGTGCAACAAAACTAAATAATTATCTCATTAATTTTATATGCATAACCAACAAAGTTTAATGGTTGTCTCATTAGTTTTATTATAAACAACTAGTGAATTTGATCGCGCGTAATATTTTATATAAATTTTATTAAATATTTTCAATAGAATTTACGTGCAAATTGATATTTCAATTCAATTATTTTTTAAAAAGATTTTTATTTTATATATTCTTCTATGATTTTTTATCACTTAAAAGTTTTTAATCTTCTATAAATACTCGTGTAGTGTACTTATAAGTGAAGAAAAAAATAATTATTTTTCTTAATAGGAAGTAAAGAAAGAAAAGAATTTCAAGAAGTTTTGTATATGTTTTGAGCATATATATATAATCTTTTTGAAACCTATTTTCTTAAAGAAAAAGAACCATAAATACATATACATATATACTTATATAAAAAAAAAGAACCACAAAGTATATTGTCTATATCGATTTTCCGAACATTGAGACTAAATGAATCATAAGAAATTTGGAGAAAAACATCATTATACTATTTTTTAAATAAATAAAAAAATATTATAAATTATTTTACTAAACTAAAATTTTAAAAGTGTTTAATTTGACAATCTTTATATGTATTTGGAGTTTGTGTTCTTTAGGGTGGTAGCCTCTTCATCCCCTCTGTCTCTCTCTTTTTAATTGATTTATCATATGCTCATGTTCCTTTTAATGTAGTATATATTGTTACTCATGTTTGATTGATCATTGTTAGGTGCAATAAAAAAAGTTGCAAAATATGTATGAATTTCAACTTCACTGCAATGATTATTTGTAATAAAAAGTTAAGTTCTGCCTCTATTTTTAAATCAATGAAACATAAAAATAGCTTCCAAAATTACAGAAGTAGAAAAATGTTTATGAATTTGTAGAGTATATACATTCTCCATTTAATTTTGTTTCTTATATTTTGTTTTTCGAGAGTCAAATTATATGGAACTTTCACCTATATTTAATATGTATTTTTTTATTATATTAATATGAGAAACATTGAATCTTATAATATTTTTCAGATTTCAAAATATTTAAATTTAAATTTTAAAATAGTGAATTAATCTAATTCAATTCAGCGTAAAAAATAGTTAAATTAACCATAAAAAAGTAAAATATGATAAGTAAAGTGAACGGAAGTAATAATTACTTTAGAATTCAAGATTGAGGTAGATATTATAGGTCGAATATATGAGACTCCTTGACGTAGATGATATAACACAAAATATCAAAATTTATCAAATGTTGAGTAAGAAGTATTAATAAAGAGATTCTAAAGTAGTTCTCAACCAAAAAAATACATCAATTATTTAGTAATTAAAATAATATATGAGATTCCTTGATGTAGATGAATAACACAACATATCAAGATTTATCAAATGTTGAGTAAGAATTAATAAAGAGATTCTAAAGTAGTTCTCAACCAAAACAATACATACCTTAATTTGACTGTAAAAATGAATCCATTTAAATATCCTAAAAAAATATAACACATACAAATAAATTTTATCAAAATAGAATATCTAATAACACGTAAATTTCTCAAGATAAATTATGAAGATGCAAATTAAAAATAAAATACTGT